ATCTTATGGTTATGTAAAACCTCTGCAGAGTATATGGTTGATCGATCGATACATATGCCGACTTGTTGGCTATGGACCTTTTCTGGATTTCGCTTAAACTAGATAGTGAGATGAGTCCTTCTCTTCTTCCCCCTGTGAGAGAGTGTTCGGTCGTAGCCAGGGGCTACGGGCCATGAGACAGTGCCAAGAGGGAGTTGGCCTGTCGACTAAGCGATGGTATGGTGGTGATGTGGTGATGGTGTGGAGATGGTGGCATATCGATCCCAGGATCGAAACCTGGCTCTGGGCAGAAATGGGGTGGAATGGGTGTGGGAATGGTGTTAAAACTTGACCAACTATTATTATATACTTGATATGCTAATACATAGAAAACCCTAGCCTTATAGGTTTCTTTTGATTATATTCAACTTGCATCCAATTTCCACAAAGCAATGCTCATAGGGTGGGAGTGGCCAGTACAAATCGTATTGATAAACTTTGGCACATAGGTTCTGCTGAGGAGTATAGCTCTGAGGAGTTTGACGGTTGAGGGGTTCGTTCCTACGCTCGAGTTTGGTGATCTTATCTTCAAGCTGTTCTGAATGAATGCTACTTTGATTCCGCCAATGCTGCGATGTAATAATTTATATAATTCCGCACTATTTGTACTCTGATATTACGTTGTATGGATGTGATATTCGACTGGAATTTGGGTAATATGATTTACAATGGTCTTATTACACTTCGACTCTGTGGATTTTCCTTCACGGAAATCAGGTCGTTTCATTCACAGTCACTAAACCCAAAGCTCAGCACCTTTTCCACATAGTTTAATTGTAACAGAGTTACCCCACCATCACCTTCTCTCAGAAGTTTGATATTAAGAATAACATCAGTCTCTCCCAAATCTTTCATTTTAAAAAATTTAGATAAAAATTCCTTCACATCCTCAATCACTTTGAGGTTGGATTGAAAGATCAGTATGTCATCAACATATAAGGACAAAATAACTCCTTCACCCCCACCATACCGACAGTACACATATTTGTTAGCTTCATTCACAACAAAGCCAACAGATGTTAGAGTTCTGTCGAACTTCTCGTGTCACTGCTTACGAGCTTGTTTTAGTCCATATAATGACTTTAATAATTTACACACCTTGCCTTCTTGACCATTTGCTACAAACACATCTGGTTGATCCATATAGATCTCTTCTAACTCTCCGTTTAGGAAAGCTGTCTTAATGTCCATTTGATGAACAATAAGACTATAAGAGGCTGCTAGGGAAAGCAAAACTCAAATTGTAGCCAATCGGGCAACTGGTGAATAAGTATCAAAGAAATCCTCACCTTCCTTTTGAGTATAACCCTTGGCCACAAGTCTTGCCTTGTACCTCTCGATAGTACCATCAGGCCTAAGCTTTTTCTTGAATACACATTTGCACCCTATAGGCTTGCACCCATAAGGACGATCAACTATTTCCCAAATTCCATTAGACATAATAGAATCCATCTCACTCCGTACTGTTTCCTTCCATAAGTCAGCATCAGGAGAGGAATATGCCTCTTCAATGATCGTTGGTGTGTCATCCACAAGGTACATAATATAGTCATTACCAAAAGACTTTGCAGTCCTCTGTCTCTAAATTTTTCTAGTGACTATAGTGTCATCCTCCTCGGGATTTTGCATATAGGGTTCCTCAATTTATTCTATCGGAGTAAAATTTTCATGCTCATGGAGAATTATAAATTCATGACCAGTCGTGCTAGGTGCATTTTTCATAGAAAATTCATTCTCAAAAAAATGTAGCGTCTCTAGATTTCATAATTGTATCAACAGCCATCTCAGAAACACTAGAATTTATAATTAAAAATCTATAATCCACGCTGTGAATAGCATAACAAAAAAAAATACAATCAACAGTCTTTGATCCATGCTTTCATTTTTTGTTTATTGGCACATTCACCTTTGCCAAACAACCCTAAGTTCACAGGTAAGAGAGATTTAATCTCTTCTTCTCTCATTCCTCGAATGGTGTAATTTCTTTGTTCTTTGTGGGCACCCTATTCAAGACATGACACGCTGTCAATATAGCTTCACCCCACCATTCCTTAGATAGTCCCACAGTCTCTAACATGGCATTAACCAAATCAGTTAAAGTACGGTTCTTTCTCTCTACAATCCAATTGGACTATGGTGAGTATGGTGGCGTCCTCTCATGAATAATTCCAGACAACGCGCAAAACTCAGAAAATTCATTTGAGAAATATTCTCCCCCGCGATCGGACCGTAAACATTTGATTTTCTTCTCAAGTTGATTTTCTACCTCAGCTTTATAGACTTTAAAATAATGCAACGCTTCATCTTTAGTTTTCAATAAATACACGTAGCAAAATCTAGTACAATCATCTATAGATGTCATGAAGTATCGTTTACTGTCTTTAGTCAATTCGCTCTTCATTTCGCATAAATCAGAATGAACGAGTTCTAATGGTGCCAAGTTCCTCGCCTCAGCAGCCTTGTGAGGCTTGCACGGTTGCTTCGATTGCACACACACCTGGCAGTTAGAATCTTTGACTAAGTTAAATTTCGGGATTAAATTCAGATTTGCAAGCCGCGTGAGAAAGCCAAAATTAATATGACAAAGTCGTGAATGCCATATATTCGACTCATCCGAAACATTAACATTGTTCACTACTTTATTACACACATCATCAAGCAAAGATAAGCGGAACAAGCCTCCGCAATCATAACATTTTCCAACAAATGTTCCATGTCTCGACACAACATACTTATTGGATTCAAGCACAATTTTAAAACCATCGTGACACATTTGAGAACCGCTAACAAGATTCTTCTTGATGGAGGGGACATGTTGCACGTTCTTTAATAGCACCGTCTTTCGCAAAGTAAACTTTAGAACGACCGTACCAACACCAAGAATACGCGCATGCGAACCGTTTCTCATCAGCAAGGCTCTAGTCCCGCCGGCCTGATAGGAAGTAAACAAAGAAACATCAGCACACACATGAATATTAGCACTACTATCCATCTATCACTCAGGTGAAAGACAGACTGAAAGAACAAAAGGTAAAGAATTACCATACCCAGATGTTCCTCCTCCAGTCTTGCTGATTACCACGTTTGCTGATTTCTTTTCTTGCTTATATTTGTGGTCTGGGTACGCACTTGCCCAATGCTCATCACTCCCGCAAACAAAGTAACCTCCACCTTTCTTGTTTTTTTTCTTCTTAAACTCAGCAGTTTGCTTAGGCTTTGTATTGTTGTTCTCTTGCATGTTCTTCTTCTTTTTATTACGGGATGCAAATGAGTTTTTCTTTTGCACCATATTGGCAGCGGAAGACTCAACTCCTTTTTCACGGTTGTCTTTTGCTCTCGCCCTCTCCTCAACATCAAGAGATCCAATAAGCTCAGCCACGCTAAACTCTTGTTTCTTGTGTTTTAGAGAAGTAGCAAAATCCCTCCAAGAAAATGGCAGCTTAGCGATTATACCGTCGGCCACAAACTTGTCGGGAAACAAACATGAAAAATTATTCTAGTTTCTTTGCTAGCGCCTGTATCTTATGAGCCTGTTCTACCACAGAACGGTTTTTAACCATTTTATAGTCATACAGCTGCTCCATAAGGTACAGCTCACTACCGGTATCAGAAACTCCAAACTTTGCCTCAAAAGCATCCCATAATTATTTGCCTGATGTGCAAGATATATAGTTTTTCTCATACTTACTATGAAGTGCACTAATTACGGCGCCTCGAAACAGGTTATCAGCAGCCAAGAACTTTTACTCCTCCTCAGGAGTAAATTATTCAGGCTTCCCTGTACGGTGTGATAGCAGTTCATAGCAGTCAACCACAACACCATCTTGGTATGTCATATAATGAAATTCTTGCCATCAAAGGTATTCGGCTTCAAAGCAGCAGCAAAACCACTGACAGAAAATTGCCTAACATTAGGTTTTTGGATTGTTAAAAAATTAGGCATTTTTATGGTCATTTTAATCCAGAAATAAAACATCAGCAGTTTCGTGACGACATATATGTGTATGTTTATATCACTAACAAACGCTACAGCATGCAAGTATGACATACCGATCGATACAGTAATTACGTAAAGTACGGTAATGAGAGAGTTAAGAGTGTACCCAGCGGAGGGTCCCACGCCGAGGGCATCGGAGGCTCCATTTGCACCAGACATAGTGCGTTGTCCGAAGTCGTGGACCACAGTCGATGCAGGAAGGTGTTCGCAGTGCAGTCCCACGAACGATCACCAGGAAGAAGACACCTTGCTGTTCCGCGGGCGATCACCAGGACGAAGACGTCTGCGACGTGGATGAGTAGTCGTGGAATCGCTCCCCAAAAACCTAATCGCCGCACACCCCGTGCAAGGTTCGCAGGCGGACGAGGGTTCCGGAGGCACCTGCTCTCCCGTTGCTCCGTGCGCGCAGAGGTATGGGACGGGGAAAATCAAAGGGTGGCTGAGATGTGGTCTCTCGGAAGCGAAAGAAAGATTAGACTGACGGAGGACTTCTACTTTTATGCCTGCGGCGGAGAGGGAGAAAGCCAGCCGAGGAACTCAGGAGACGGTAACTGGCGCAATCAACACACCTCCACCGTAAAAGAGAGAAACTCCTGTAATTATGTGGATTAACTAGCAAAACCTGACCACGCCCGCTTGTCTGCCACGCCCACGCTCCGGCGGCGGCGCGCGCGTGTGGCACTTCTGTGTCCTTTTCTCAGCTTCTCAATTAAGATGGATAATTTCCAACCAAATAAGCTGAGTCAACATTCAGTCAAAATTCCGTACGGTATTAAACCATACAACGCTTAATGTTACGAACCATAGAATTTTATTTGATTTATTAAACATTATATGGATCAAGCCCATAATATATCCAACAGCAGCTGCAGTCGCACAGCTCACAGAGCACCTCAAGAAGGAGCGCGCGGCCGAGGTGGCTAAGCTACAGGACGAGCACGCTGCTGCTGTCGCTCGGCTGAAGGAGGAGCACGCAGCCGACGTCGCCCGCGTGAAGGACGCAGCGGACAAGGAGGTGCAGGATGCCAAGAAGAACATCGTGCTCCTCCTCTTCCCGAAACTGGGTCTCACTGCTGAACGACCAAAGCTCAAGCTCAAGGGAGATCTCGCTGCTGCCGGAACGCCCAAAGCTCAAGGGAGATCCTGATAAAACTGCAGATCGATCAGTGGCATCATGAACCAGTAAGTTGTTTGTGATCTTGTAGTTTATGTACTTTTTGTGTGTTTCTGTTTTGTAGAGAAAGGGTTCTCCGTTAAAGCTCCTGCTATTACTAATCTACCCTTCTCTCCATTAATTTATTTTTACTAATTATCTTTCTTAAATTAATTGTTTGTCAAGATAAAAAAAATATTAAGTACCCAAAAGTACTAGTAGTACTTTCCAACCACCGAAACAAGCCTCTTATTTATATACATATCAAAGAATTTGCTTTTTTATTTACTGTTGTTTCAAGTCCATAATACCTGTTATTGAGTCAGTGGACACATTACGTTTTAATATCAGTTTGATAATAATACTTGGTTGTCAAATCGTTATCTTAGTCTTACATATTCGACCTGTTATGCAGCTCCAGTGGTTGATGCTACTTGTTACTTGATATTGTATTGGGCAACTTTGTTAGAGTGCTACTCCTTGTTTCTTAATTTCTATTGTGTTTACATTTTTTTTAATCGGGTATAAGATTGCTCAAACCATGGCAGATTTGTTGCGACTTGCGAGGGGTAGTTTATTCGAGATTGCAGGTGTTTTGGTTTATGAATCAAGGTTGTACAAATTTGAAGTTGAAAATTAGACTTCTGAAATTCCTAGATATGTTATGGTCTATTTTATTACATGTTTGACCGATTCCAAAAAAAAAAAGGTGATGTGCATGTGAGCCCCCGCGAGAAAAGAAAAAAAAAGGCTTTGCTTTGCTGCAAATGGACACCGGTGATTTCAGGAGGTGATGGTAGTAGCATATCATTCTGAGAGCTAAACACAAGTAGAAATACTGCAATGTGTAACATAAGGGTAGATCAGTCGCTGTTGGTATTCAAGTTTCATCCATACTTAGAAGAAATGCAGAATCATCGGCTCATCATGCTCAACTATTCAACAGATAAGACTATGAAATCTGCTGACTTGTTCAGTCAAGGAAAAATTTTCAACTTCTTTCCCTGTCATATTTACAAAAATTTGTAAGACGTCAATTCATCATGTGCAGCAAACATGAGGCCCATTTTGCAGAGCTCACTAATTCAAAGTCTAACAGTTACTTTCCCTTCCTACCTGTTTCATGAAGGTTTGTTGGCTGTCTGGCTCAAATAATAAATCTGGAGTCACCTCAGAAAGCTCCAGCAGCACTTCTCTACATGTGAAGTTTCTACGCAGATGAACTCGTCGCCTGCAAAGTCTACCAGAAAAGACCATTGCCCTTTGTACAGTGCATCGACAGTAGGATGCTATACCAGTGTGCCCTCATGAGTCATGACCATTTGACATGCCAGTTCCATTGTTCCGATACTACCGAGAACAATGGATATGCATAGCACCTCTCTGTTCCTCCTCGCCTTGATCCATCTGCTTGTGCACGTTTCAGCCCATGATTTCCTCTTGCCAGGTTCCTCGCTCTTTGTAGAGCACAGCTCCTACGTGCTCTTATCACCAGATGGCACGTTCACCTGTGGCTTCTACAACAGCTCATCTAATGCCACTGTCTTCTCCATATGGGTCTCCACTCAGCTGAGAAGAACGTCGTCTGGAGCGCGAATCATCTCCACCCTGTGTACACCTGGGGATCCAGAGTCGAGTTAGACATCCATGGGACCATGGTTGTAAAAGATTACAATGGCCAGATCGCATGGACCAACAACGTGAGCTCTTCGGATCATGCTGACCGAGCTCAGCTGCTGGATACAGGAAATCTCGTCATCAAGGGAAAAGGTGATGCAATTCTGGCCCCGTTCGCGTGCCCTTAAACCCGGTCTGATCCGCTTATTTTTTCATCCGGAACAGTGTTTTTCTCTCATAAATTCCTCCAGCATTCATCCAAACCATCCAGATTCCTCCAAAATTCAGACAAACGAACAGGCCCTCTGTGGCAAAGTTTTGATTCTCCTACTGATACCTTGCTGCCCATCCAGAACATCACTGTGGCTACAAAGCTGGTAGCTACTCAGACTCTACTCGTTCCTGGCCATTACAGCTTCCATTTTGATGATCAGCATCTACTTACGCTATTTGATGATGAGAAGGGCATCTCATTCATCTACTGGCCAGATCCAGATATCAATATCTGGGCAAAACAAACAAACTCATTTATTAGCACCACAATTGGCGTTCTTGATAGCTCTGGGCATTTCCTTGGAAGTGACAATCTGAGCTTTACATCATCTGATTCAGGTCCTGGGATCGTGAGGAGACTGACACTAGACTATGATGGCAATCTTAGGCTGTACAGTATGGATAACAATGGGACATGGATCCTCTCATGGATGGCATACTCTCGGCTCTGCTATGTACGTGGTTTGTGTGGCCAAAATGGAATATGTGTGTATACGCCTGCGCCTACCTGTACATGCGCACCTGGCTATGAGGCCATTGACCCAAGTGATGGGAGAAAAGGCTGCAAGCCCAAGCTCACAGTGAGTTGAAACGGGAGGCAGAAGATGAGATTTGTGAAACTACCCAGCACTGATTTCTTGGGGCATGATCAAGATGTGCACCACTCTGTTGCTCTCCATACATGCAAAAACATATGCATGAGCACCTGTAGTTGCAAGGGGTTCAAATACTTTGAAGGAACGGGTGAATGCTATATAAAGTGAATCCTCATCACATGAGCAACGCCATGACCTCGACCCCGAAACCCTAGCTGCCCCTGGCGGGCCCCTTCGCGCCGTCGCCGCCCCCTCCCCTCCCTCCCCCACCTCCCCACCCCCCTCTGAGCCACATCCTCGTGGAGGTCCGGGTTCTGGGGTGCGCGACGAGGCGCCCTGGGCACCTCCATCCTCGCCGCCGGTGGCGGCGCCGGTGACAGCACCGGCCGCCCAATCCCCTCCCTCCCCACTTACCTCTGAGCCGCATCCTCACGCGGGTCCAGGTGCTGGGGCGCGCGACGAGGCACCCCGGGCGCCCCCATCCCCGCCGCCGACCGGCGGCCGTGCGTCTCCGCGGCACGACCGGGCAACTGCCGGCGCCTCTCCGCCCTCTACGCCACCGGTGGAAGACGCTGCCGCCACGGGCGCCCCGCGGCCTCGCGAGGCCCAGATTTGGTGCGCCCCTGCCCCCTCCGCCGCCAGGACCGGCCCTCGCAGCCGACTCGGCCTCCGATAGGGCCTCGACGCTGCCGGCCGGCACCAATGGCGTAGCCAGGATGTGTAGCTAGGGTGGTCCATTGTCTAAATTTTTTTAACAGCTATAAATTTAACGTATCGGTATACTGGTATATGAATGACAAAACGCAATTAATGAAAAAAAGACATACAAAGTTCATAAAATAGATGAGTATAACTTTATTAACATAGAATTCAAATATTAAATACCTATAATAATTGAAGAATAATATGTCACTACTTCTTCTTCTTCTTGTCAGGCCCGCGCCTTCTAATTAATAGCCATAAAAGTGTTGATGATCTTTTCTTCATACGATTGTAAGAAGATATCCTGCTCAATAAAAGTCACTAGACAATCATCTAGAAGGCTATCACCCATATTATTTCTCAACTTATTCTTGATAAAGGTCATTGTAGAAAATATTCTTTCAACACTTGCAGTAGTCACCGGTAGAAGCAATACCAATTTGATAAATAAATAGACCCAATGATAAATTTTATCCCTCTTTGTTTCAACAAGTTTTACTCAGAGGTCAACAAGATTGTTTAGACCTATGAACATTTCATCTTTTCAACAAAAGGAGATGGAGAAGAGGCCTTCTTCTTTGCTTCGTATTTCTGAAAAAGAGACACAATATCACCACTCCTCTTCATCTTTCAACAATTCTGCAACAACAATATATAATGTTTCAATATATCAAATCATTAATCCAATACTGCAAAAAAATCATATATTGAAATAAAATAATTCAGGGTTGCACTTGCACAAAAAAATCAGTTTTGCATACCTTATGGCTTGTCAGCTTGTGCACTTCTCCTATCTGACTGACTGTACGTGCAAATCGCAGAACACCAATTGAGGAAACTGAAAGGAAAAGAAGAAACGTGAGTATTATGTACTTGTGACTAAAGGAGAATTCAGAATAGGGATAGACAGGTAGGGCAGCAGCCAGCAGCAGGCTAATTAACGTTGGCAAAGCAGTTCAGAGTGCCTGCCCCTGCTCGGCTGATGCTTTGCGTTTGCCGACATGGAGATGACGATGTCGGTTGTCGGAGTCCGATGGGCGATGGCCGTGCTCGCCGCCGCTAGCAGTTGCGTCGCGGCCGTCGACCGACCCCACGACTGCACCGCACGCCACGCAAAATACGGAAACAATACGATGCGAAAGGAACAGACGGCGGAATCCGCAAGATCGTGAGCGACTGGGCGAGTACTGACTCTACCTATGGGCCTTGGTTGGGCCGAGCGCAGGGTGGTCCGCGGACCACAGGGACCACCCTGTAGCTCCGCCCCTGGCCGGCACAGGGAGCGCTGCCTCCACCGCCGACGACCACTCCACGCCGTTTGAGGCCAAGACTGGGCCTTCTGGATCCATGGGCGTCGGGGACCCAAGTCAGGATGTCGTGGCGCCTCCGGGCACCCCTAGCTCGCCCACCCTCTCACCGGACGCAGCTCCGTTCTACCCTGGCGGCACTGCAGGAGGGCGCACGAAGTGCCGCCGGTGGGCGGATGCCGACGACGAGGAGTCCGACGACGACCACCCCGCCACCTACCTGGATGCCGCTCGTCGCCCGGCAAAGCCGGTCGCTGTGTCCCCGCCGCGCGCCCGGACTCGTTCATTCGTGATTTTGGGCTGTGGCAATGCGAAGGCGGACCGGCAGGGTTCCGGGCAAAGGCGGAGGAAGCACAGCCGGCCGCGCCAACAGCTAGTGTGCGGCATGCTTGCTCGGCAAGTGGATGGCCGTATTCCTACCCAGCAGCGCCTTGGTCGCCGCGGACGGGTCTCCGCCCCCAACGTCGATGGGTGGCGGGAGATCGTTCCCCGACAGGAGGTACGACCTGCGGCCGCCTCGGCTAGAGCCTCGTTGCGGCACAAAGCAGCCTCTGCAGACCCGTAAAGTCCCCCCGGAGCTTCACGGCAGATGCTTCAACTGCCTTTCCTACTCGCAGCGAATAGCGACCTACCGGTTGCCACGGCGTTGCCTGCGCTGCCACGGTTACCGCCACCTCGCCAGGGACTGCAAGCGACCCAAGCATGCTTCAGCATCGACGGCGAAGGGTGGCGACCGACCGCGGCACCCCGTTCACGGCGGCAACCCACCGGCCTCCTAGCACGCGCCCTGTGGCGGTTCACCGAGCTCGGACGGGGCCGTGCTGGGTGCCGCTGGGGGGGTAGCGGAACCCGACGACGGCGGTGGCGACGCCGGAGTAAGCCAGCGAGGAACGACAGCATGGGAGCGCATGCCGACTACGACTAGTCGACAACAACGCCACTGCCTCTGCTGCTGCATACTGCTTCCCCGAGCCAGATCCGCTGGCGTTGGAGCTGTGCGCGTCAGCGCGTGTACGGGGCCTCCTGCGTGGGTCAACCCAATGTTGGAGGAGCTCACCGCCTCGCTGATCGTGAGCTCCTCAGCACGATTGGAGGAGCTCGCCGCCTCGCTCATCATGAGCTCCTCAGCACGAGCGCCAGCGCTTAGATGCTCGCCTGCTGCGGCGGCAGACTCTCAGGTGGATGCATCGCCGGTGGACTGTTGTTCTCCGACGAAGACTACCCAGTGGACGACAGACTCGTCTCCGTTGTCGCCTGTGTCAGGCCCACCACAGGTCACGCCGCCACGAAGGGGACAGCCCGACATCGTGGATGCCGAGGCGCGCCCTGACCCAGTGCTGGTCGGGGCAGCCACCCAAGGAGACCTGATGGTTGGGGTTGCCATGGACGTCGTCAACCGCACTCCGTCTCCTCAGACGACCTCTGCCGACAGACGCCTCAAGCGCTTTACCGAGCTAGTCACAAAGGCGAGGCAGCCGCCACTCCTGGAGCTGCCTGGAAGCGATACGGCCAACGTCGGACGTACACCACCCGTACTTCCCAAGAGGAGCAGGCAGATAGTGGTGCAGAGCATATCGCATATCCCGGCGTCCAAGCGAGGTGAGCACCTTGTGCTCAAGCGCCTGGGACTAACCAACGGAATGCCATCGCCGTCTACGTCGGTCCTGAAGGCATAAGCGCAAGCGGCGCCGCCGCCACTCGGCAGCCAGGGCATAGGCCTCATAGCCGGTGTCGCTAGTCGGGTTGATCAGTTTCTAATGTAACAGCATAGCTTTCAGTACACTAGGAAGGTCTGAGCATCCATGTACTACACTTATGACCATCTACGGAGCCGCTAAGGCGTGTTGTATTAAACTTTTTCTCTACCTTAATACAAAGACGCGCAAACTTTTTGTGTGATCAAGAAAAAAATGCTATATAAAGTTTGATATTGTTGGTGGAATCACCAAACCAGGTTTAGCTGGTTCTACCTACATCAAGCTCCCTGAGGATGTGGAAGTGCTAGAATCCTCTATTCCACACTCACAATCTTTTGGTCCTAAATACAGTTCTGGGTGTAGTAGTGCACTAAGCACAAATGTGATAGCTAATATGTTGGATACGACTGAGGGAAGCCACAGTGGACCAAAATACTGGTATGTGGCTGGGTTCTTATCAGCATTTTTTCTGGTGGAGGTGATATTTCTTGTGTTAGGGTGGTGGTTTATTTTGAGAAGAGAGGGCAGACAACTAAGAGGAGTATGGCCAGCTGAGGTTGGGTATGAAATGATTACGAACCACTTTCGCAGGTATACTTACAAGGAACTACAGAGAGCTACTAGAAAATTTACACACGAGCTTGGAAGGGGTGCATCTGGTGTCTTATACAAGGGGTACTGGAAGACAAGAGGGAAGTAGCAGTGAAAAAGCTGGCAGACATAAACCAAGGTGAAGCTGAATTTCAGCATGAACTGAGTGTGATTGGCAGGATTTACCATATGAATCTAGTGAGAATTTGGGGGTTTTGTTCCGATGGTCCTCACACGATACTAGTCTTGAAATTCGTGAAGAATGGTTCACTGGACAAAGCCTTGTTTGGTACAGTTGGGTCACCGATCTTACTTGAGTGGAAGCAGAGGTTTAACATTGCTCTAGGGGTGGCGAAAGGACTGGCATATCTTCACCATGAGTGCTTGGAGTGGGTCATCCACTGCGACGTGAAGCCTGAGAACATACTGTTGGACGAGAACTTGGAGCCGAAGATCACTGACTTTGGCCTAGCGAAGCTCCTGATCAGAGGTGGGTCCAATAAAAGTATATCATGGATATGCGGTACTAGAGGCTACATAGCTCCTGAGTGGGTTTCTAACCTCCTAATAACAGCAAAGTTGACATCTACAGCTTTGGAGTGGTGCTTCTAGAACTGCTCGAGGGAGCTCGTGTTTCAGAATGGTCAGCAAATGCAGACGAGACAGTTGAAATCGCTATTACAAGGCTTGTTAGGATGCTTGAAGAGAACACAAAGATGCAGGCCAGCACACAGGCATGGATCCCTGGCTTCATTGACCCTAGACTGAATGGCCACTTCAATGGCATGCAGGCCAGAGCAATGATCAAGTTGGCTGTTTCATGCGTACAGGAAGACCGAAACATGAGGCCCACCATGGAAAATGTGGTGCAGCAGCTTCTTTCAGTTCCATGAAGCTAGTAGCACTATGAAGCACTATTCTATCGATTGAGTTTGCTCCTTGATGAATTTGTGGTGTGTATGCCTCCTTTTGGTCCCATATAAGATAGCTATGCCATAGGCCAATGATATCACTTCTTTTTCTCCTATGTTTATTTTCTCCGTTCATAATTTCATATTTAAATAGGATATGCCATGCTACTATTATGTAGTCTGAAAATTGTAGTATTTATTCAAAAGGTATTCTATAGTCTGTTGTAATAAAATGCAATGACATGTGGAAGTTCATACTTTTAGCCAGACTGTCAGTGAACAGTGTTCAAGAAGACATACTAAGATGCTAGGTTTAGAAAGATATGACTGAAAATTGAGATCTCGATACCGGAAGGAGGGGTTTAGGAAGTAAATGCTTAGGATTGTAAACTAAATCCCAAAAATTCCTGTAACACTCCCCTTCTTCCAAACAGGTCCTATCATTCCTGAAACAACATGTTATGATAGGCCGAACATATCAACAGAAGCAACGCCACAGTGGCTAGGACTGAGCGAGATCAGGAAGCCTAGGCTAAAATAAGTTATAGTTTGTTAGCATGTGAGTGATTTCAGGAGATTGGTTATTGCCTTGTAAACATTCGGTCTATATGGCCTAACTTGCGATTAAGGATTGGTTAGCCTGGGATTGAGATTCATTCTCCCCTGGGCCCCCGGGCATCACTGTTCGCTGTCATTGTTTTGCCGACCTCACCCAAACCCTCGACTACAGCACGGCGCCGTCGCGCCGCTGCCCTGCCAAGCCACGGCACGCCTTCTCCCCTCCATACTTCCTCCGCAGTAAGGTGCGCCATACCAACCTGGTATCAGAGATGTCCTCTGGTTCTGGGACTCCGTCGGTGTCCGTGCCCTCATCCACCACTGTTCCGCCCACCTCCGGCACACCCGCACCGGCAGCCACATCCGCTGCCCTTGTGCCAGCCATACCACCAAACGTCTCCCTCCCACCTCCCCCGCCCGCCTCCTCTGATGTCATCGCTGCTGCCCTCTACGGCCTCCAGCAGCAGATGCACCTCCAGTTCGGCGCCATCAACGCGCGACTCGCGGCTCTCGAGGGCCACACACCCTCGCCGCCACCCGTGTCGCTCCCGTTCGGCCTTCCCGGCTACGGCGGCGTGCCTCAGCTGCCGGCACCTACTTCCGGTTGTGTGCCACTCCTCACGGCGTCCGGCGTCGTCACGTCGGCACCGCCCGCGGCGCCACCGATTTTCCCATCTGTGCCTCCACCCGTGCCCATGTTCTCCTCCTCCGTGCCGCCCTCCACCATCATCACCACCACCATACCCTCGAGACCCATCCCGATCACACAGATCAACTTCCCACACTCACCCTCCCCGCTGCCACCATTTTCCTCCATCATGCAGGCCCCGGTGGACTCCACTGCCATGCACAGCCCTACACCGCAAACCCACATTCCCCCGGCACCGGAGGGCCACATCGTGCCGCGTTACCAAAAACTGTCGTTTCCGACTTATGACGGCGAAGCGGAGCCGCTGGGGTGGTTGAATAAATGTGAGTAGTTCTTCCGTGCCCAGCGAACTCCGGATATCGACCGCGTCTGGTACGCGTCCTACCACATGAACGGCACGGCGCAACAGTGGTACCTCGTGCTTGAGCGCGACGCCGGCGAGCCCACTTGGAACGAGTTCAAGATCCTCTGCCATCACAGGTTCGGGCCGCCAATCAGCACCAACCATCTGGCGGACTTGGCGCGTCTGCCGTTCACCTCGATGGTCGAAGCGTACCTGAAGGCGTTCCAGGCGCGCCTCGCTCACGCTGGTCCCCTGGCGCCCCTTCAGCAGGCCCAGCTCTTCATGGGCAGACTGCCTGAGGCCCTTCGCGTCGACGTGGAGCTCCACGAGCCCCAGGATCTCCAGCGGGCGTTGCGTCTGGCCAGGGCGTACGAGCGCCAGAACGCACCGGCGCCACTCGCGCTCCCCGCACCACCCCTTCGACCACAACGCCGCGCGCTTCCAGCGCCTGGAGCCGGCCAGACCGCGCCACAGGCGGCGCCGACGTCGTCGTCCACGCCACCGCGTGTCTTCAAAAAGCTCACACCTGACGAGATGGCTGCTCGCCGCAAGCAGGGGATGTGCTACAATTGCGACGAACCTTATGTGCGCGGCCATAAGTGCGCGTGGCTGTTCTTCCTGGAGGCGGCTGACTACACGGTGGACGAGTTGGACGACGTCGACGACACTCAGGCGCCCACCGACGCCACGGCCGTGGCGCCCACGACGTACGACCCAGATGCCCCCTTGATCTCATTATCGGTGATCACGGGCGTTCGCACGGAGGACACAATGCAACTGTGCGTCCAAGTTGGCACGCACGAGTTCACGACGTTGCTCGACAGTGGGTCTACCCACAACTTCATCAGCTCAGCGGCGGTGCGCCGCATCGGCCTTCACTTCAAGGAAGCGGGGGGCGCCCATGTCGTCGTGGCGAACGGCGACCGTGTCGCTTGTCGGGGCCTCGCCCGCGACGTAGACCTCCGGATCGGCAACGAGCACTTCATGGTGGATTGTTTCTCCATCCCTCTGGACTGCTACGACATGGTCTTGGGGATCACCTAGCTGCGTACCCTGGGGCCCGTCCTCTGGGACTTTGACGAACTCCGCATGGAGTTCACATGCCACGGCTGCGGGGTGCTGTGGAAGGGCATCGGCTCGACGCGCACCGCCACTCCGCCGATGGGCCGCCTTCATTCCGGCCGCCTCTACTCTGCCAAAGGCACCGAGTCGGCCCTGCTCGAGCGGCTGCTGGACACGAATGCGGACGTGTTCGCCGCGCCCACGGGCCTCCCTCCGGCGTGGCCCTGTGACCACCGAATCCACCTCAAGCCAGCCACAGAGCCCGTTGCCGTCCGACCATACCGATACCCCCAATTGCAAAAAGATGAATTGGAGAAACAGTACGAGGACATGCTGCAGCAGGGCATCATTAGGCCCAGTACATCGCCATTTTCCACACCGGTCCTCCTCGTCAAGAAGTAGGACAGTACATGGCGCTTTTGCGTCGACTACCGGGCGCTCAATACAGCGACAGTGAAGGACAAATTCCCCATCCCGGTGGTGGAGGAGCTCCTCGATGAACTCCATGGCGCGAAGCTCTTCACCAAGCTTGACCTCCGATCGGGGTATCATCAAGTTCGTGTGCACCCCGAGGACGTGGCCAAGACGGCGTTCCGCACTCACCATGGCCATTTCGAGTTCTTGGTCATGCCATTCGGACTCTCCAACGCGCCATCGACATTTCAAGCACTAATGAATTTTGTGCTCAAGCCTTTCCTCCGCAGGGGCGTCCTTGTGTTCTTCGACGACATCCTCGTCTACAGCGCTTCCTGGACCGAGCACCTGCAGCTGCTCCGGGCGGTCCTCAGCGTCCTCCACGAGCATCGCCTCCACATTAAGCGCTCAAAATGCTCCTTCGCCACGCCATCGGTCCAGTACCTTGGCCATGTCATCACGGCGGACGGCGTGGCCATGGACAGTACCAAGGTGGCCGTTGTGCAGTCCTAGCCGCAACCACGGTCGGTCCGAGGCCTGCGCGGCTTTCTCGGCCTCGCCGGGTACTACCGGCGGTTCATCAATAACTACGGCTCCATCGCGGCGCCGTTGACACAGCTGCTGCGCAAGGAGGCTTTCTCTTGGACCAACGCCACTACGACGGCGTTCGCATACCTCAAAGTCGTGCTATCCACCGCGCCCGTGTTGCACCTGCCCGACTTCTCCACGGAGTTCGTTGTCGATTGCGATGCGTCGGGATCCGGCTTCGGGGCGGTCTTGCACTAGGGAGCCGGCCCCATCGTGTTCTTCAGCAGGCCCTTCGCCGCGCGTCACTTGCAGGCCGCGGCTTATGAGCGCGAGCTCATCGGCCTTGCGCAAGCAGTCCGCCATTGGCGCCCTTATCTTTGGGGTCGCGCCTTTGTGGTGCGGACATATCACTACGCATTGAAGTTTATGCTCGATCAAAGGTTGTCAATGATCCCGCAACACCATTGGGTTAGCAAGTTGATGGGGTTCGACTTTCGGGTGGAGTATCGCTCGGGCCGCCTGAACGTCGTCGCGGACGTGCTCTTGCGCCGAGACGGCGACGCACCGCTCCTGGCCCCCTCGCGCTGGCGGATTAGCATGCGCGGGAGGCTTCTCTGCCGGTGTTCCAGCTCTTCGACGACCTCCGGCGCGAGATCGACACCTCGCCCGAGCTCCGCACGCGCCGCGACGCCGTGGTGGCTGGTGACCACGGCGCCGATTGGTGCGTCCACGATGGCCTGCTGCTACGCGACGGGCGCGTGTTCGTGCCCGCGTCATCGGCGGTCCTGGATGACGTACTGCAGCTGGCCCACACGGGGGGCCACGAAGGCATCCAGAAGACGCTGCAGCGCCTCCGCTCAGAGTTCTACGTCGACCACGATCGACGTGTCGTCCGCGAGTTCGTTCGCTCGTGCGCGACATGCCAACGCAACAAAACGGAGGCGCTGCACCCGGCTGGTCTCCTCCAGCCCCTCCCTGTGCCGTCGCGCATATGGGCGGACATCTCCATGGACTTTGTGGAGGCGCTTCCTAAGGTACATGGCAAAAGTGTCCTCCTAACAGTGGTTGACAGGTTCTCGAAGTTCGCCCACTTCATTCCCTTAGGCCACCCGTACACGGCATCATCCGTGGCCCGAGCTTTCTTCGCGGAGGTGGTGCACCTGCATGGGTTCTCGGAGTCAATTGTGAGTGACCGGGACCCGGTCTTCACGGGCCATGTGTGGCGGGACCTGTTCCACCAAGCTGGCGTGAAGTTGCGCATGAGCACGGCATTCCATCCGCAAATGGATGGACAGTCTGAGGCGGTGAACAAGACCATCGCCATGTATCTTCGCTGCCTCACCGGCGATCGTCCCCGCGACTGGCTGGAGTGGCTTCCGTGGGCCGAGTACTGCTACAACACTTCATACCACTCGGCCCTCCGGACGTCGCCCTTCACCGTGGTCTATGGCCGTGAGCCGCCAGAGCTGCTGCCCCACGCGCCGGGACACGCGCGTACAGACGCCGTCGACACGTTGTTCGCAGACCGCGACGAGTTCCTGGCCGAGGTGCGTTCGCGCCTTCTACAGGCCCAAGAATATGCTCGTCGCCACTACGACGCCAAGCATCGCCCCCTGGAGTTCGCCGTGGGGGACTGGGTGTGGCTGCGCTTACTACACCGACCTACCCAGTCCTTGGAGCCAACCAGCCGCGGCAAGCTCGGTCCTAAGTACGCCGGGCCGTACAAGATCGTTGAACGCGTCGGCACGGTGGCCTATCGTCTTCACCTGCCAGAGGGAGCTCGCATTCACGATGGTTTTCATGTAGGGGTGCTCAAGCCTCTGCGCGGGCCTCCGCCGTCGTCGGTGCCTGCGCTGCCTCCTCTCCGCCATGGTCGCCCTCTACTTCGTCCCGGCCACGTGCTGCGCGCCAGCCTGCGACGCGGCGTGTGGCATGTGCTGGTGCAGTGGGCTGACATGCCCCCGTCCGATGCAACCTGGGAGCCGGTCGACGAGTTCCGCGCGGCGCACCCCTCCTTTCAGCTCGAGGACGAGCTGTTCTCCGAGGGGGGGAGAGATGTTATGATAGGCCAAACATATCAACGGAAGCGACGCCACAGTGGCTAGGACTGAGCGAGATCAGGAAGCCTAGGCTAAAATAAGTTATAGTTTGTTAGCATGTGAGTGATTTCAGGAGATTGGTTATTGCCTTGTAAACATTCGGTCTATATGGCCTAACTTGCGATTAAGGATTGGTTAGCCCGGGATTGAGATTCATTCTCCCCTGGGCCCCCGGGCATCACTGTTCGCTGTCATCGTTTTGCCGACCTCACCCAAACCCTCGACTACAGCACGGCGCCGTCGCGCCGCCGCCCTGCCAAGCCACGGCACGCCTTCTCCCCTCCATACTTCCTCCGCAGTAAGGTGCGCCATACCACAACACGACTGAAGATAATAGGTTAGGCGAAGTCCCAGATGCATACGAACCCTTAATTTCGTTGTGAAGGGTGCACTGATTTATTGGTGAAATCAGAATCTGACTAGCTGATCCCATGAGCACCCATGGGGAGGGGAAGGAAGGAATCTGACGACATGAAAAATTCAGAATAACGTGAGTTAGTTGAAATCCAATGAGCACGGCAGATTAAGCACGCTTGGCACTGTTTTGTTTTTTTTTATAAAGGAAGGATTATATTAATTCACAATTTTTACATGAGTTGATAGAAGGGCGGGCCTGGTGCAAGCGGTAGAGTCTTACCGCCTGTGACTGAAAGGTTCTGGGTTCGAGTCGCGGTCTCCTCGCATTACACAGGCAAGGGTAAGGATTGCCACTAACACCCTTCCCTAGACCCCGCATAAAGCGGGAGCCCTCTGCACTAGGTACGCTCTTTTTTTACATGAGTTGATAGAAAATCATGAACCCA